CCCATCCCTGGCACCGACTGGCTGAGCTGTGGCTTGGGTTGCCCTGGATCCCCGCATAAGCTCTGTCCCCGCAGAGGTCAGGGGGGGCTCTGCCGGTGGGATGGGCCATGGGGCAGGGGGTGGTGGGAAGGCCACCAACATCCCAGGGGAAAACAGTCCCGGCCATCCACCTCGTCCCCTTATCTGGGATGAGGTTACCCCAAAAGTGCTTCTGACTGATCTGGCCTGGGGTCTCACCAGCAGTTTCGGACCACGGCGACTGCAGAGGAGGGTTCTCCTCGCTACCACAGCACCACTGTCAGCCCAGAAATGGGGCGGGAAGCCCCCCAGCCCAGGCAAGCCCCTCACCAAGCTCCCCTCCCCGTGGCCACCCCTCCGCTGGGAAAGAAGAGACAGGCTGAAGCCCTACCCGTAATCCTTGACTAAGTGTGGTCTCGGCCCGTTGAGGATGGCCTCGGGGGGCTGTGGCACGTGGGGCTGCTGGAGGCGGTTGAGGCTGTTCTGCCGGCTGCTCGCAGCTGGTGCCGGACGGTAGACGTGCTCCTGGGGGGGGGCAGCTGCCAGCACCCCCTCCTTGTGCTCCGCTGGGGCCAGGTGGGACGCTGGGGCCAGCAGCTGCGCCGGGTGGTTGGGGCTGGCCGGGTACGAGTGGTCGGCTGCGTCCGATGCGTAAGATCTACGGCACAGGAAAACCCAACGGTTGTACTCCTGGGGGGGCGGGGCATGGATTTGGGGGTATTTTGGGGTGGAGACAACAAAACATGGCCACAAAAAAATACAGATGTACGAGAAAGCAGCAAGATAGCGGAGGGGAGTTGGACACCAACAGAGCTGAGCCAGTTTCCTCCCTTAGCTGTTAAACAGAAGGCACGACGCCTTTATCCCAACACCAAGGCTGCTCCTGGAGGTCCAGGAGCCCAGGTACCCTGGGTTTACGGCTTATCCCCCCAACCCTGCTACAGGCAGCACATCCCCCCAAAGACGGAGAAAAAGAGAAAAGCAAAGGTGAGCCGGTGAGCTAAAGGCATAGTAGGTAAAACCTGCCTATTATCTGGGGACAGTGATCCTTCCGATGACGCCATGTGGTAGGGGGATGGGGAGAACCTGTTATCGGGTCGGAACTCTTTGTCATATGCCATCATGTTCCACTCCAGGCGCCGGTTGCGGGCTTTCCTCACTTTCTTCACCTCCCGCGTGGAGTCCTCCACCAGCCGCTGCTCCTGCGGGCGCACACAGGCTGTGGCTCCATCTCCAGCCCGGCTCCTCCGGACCGTGAGTGGTACCCAGGGAGCATTGAGCTGCATCCAGCGCAGCACGTGGGATGCACCAGGTCCCAGGCAGCCCCAGTTCCAGCCCCGCTCCGTGTCCCCCGCCTGCCCGTTACCTTCTGCCTGCGCTTCTCCTTTCGCTTATCTTCTGTCGCCTGCAACATTTTCTCCTTCCATAAGTTGAAGAAGTAGGAGGGGTCGGTGTAGAACTTGAGGCCGTCCTTTTTGTCATCCCTGGGGGGATGGGGAGGGAGGAGAAGGGGTTATCAGCCCCAGAAGAAGACCCCCCCCCTTTCCCTGAGCAGAAAGGTTTGGTACAATCATGGTCATAAGCTGTTACTCCACCATGAACACGTCCAACGCGTTGGTCACTACCCGCAGTACCACTGCATGGGGTCACTCATCCCAAGCGCCCTATGCAATGGGGGTGGTGGCACAGCAACTGGTGAAAACACCCTCTCTGCTCTTGCCAAGCAGCAAACGGGGTGAACCCCTCGATACCTCTCCTGGAAAGGGTCCCCCAGGATCCCCTTGGTCCCCCCAAGGAGCGATGCACCAGCCACCCTACCTGTAAGGTGTGAGGATGTTGAGTGGCGGGGGGGGGTCGCAGCGCTGGTACATCTCCATCACCGGGTTGGGGATGGAGTTGCGAGACACAACCTGCTGGTTCTGCACCGTGGAGCTCTTGAAGGCTTTCCGCATGTTGATGTCCTGCAGCGAAACTGGGGGCGCAGGAAGGAGAGGGGATGCAGGGGTGGCCTCAGCCCCCCAAAACCAGGTGTGGTGGGGGGGGCAGCCCCGAGCACGCATGTCCCACCCGCTCGTGCCCAGCCATCACCCCAAAATAGCCCCAGCCCCTCACCTTCCTCCACGGTGGAGTCCAGCTGCGTCACCTTGATGACCAGCAGGTCCACCCTCTCCTGCAGCGAGTTCATCCGCATGTAGAAACTGTTGGCTTCATTGAACAGCTCGCCAAAGATGTCCTCGGCGTGCCTGCCTGGCAGAGGACAACAGGCGCCCGTCACGGGCAACGGCAGCAGGCAGGCAGCCCTCTCCCAGCCCGTCCCCTCGATGCCATGCCTCCCCGCCGGCTCTGGGAGGCTCTCTCCCTAGCCTTGATTTTTTGGGAAGCCGAGCTTCATCCTCGCCCAGACCTGGCAAAGCGCTGCATGGAAGGAGGGGAGCACAAGCCACCTGCCCGTCTCCATGCACCACCACCCTTTTCGGCAAGAGTGGTACCCATGGGAGGCACCAAACCACGGTGGTGCTCATCCGAAAAAGCCTTTGGATCTACCAGGGCAGATACACAGAATCACAGAATCCCAGAATGGCAAGGGTTGGAAGGGACCTCGGGATCATCCAGTCCCACCTCCCTGCTAAAGCAGGTTCTCCTAGAGCATGTTACACAGGACTTTGTCCAGGCGGGCTTTGAGTATCTCCAGAGAAGGAGACTCCACAACCCCCAAAAAACTACCATAACCCCCCGGTCATTCAGCATCACCTGCAGAAACCCAGCCCTGGGGGTGGAAACCGGAGAGCGGGGCAGCGGGGAGGGAGCTACAGCGGGGAGAAGCTGCAAATTTTTTCACATTAGCAGTTATTTCCCTGCAGCGTTCAGCGCATCGCTACGACAGCTCTGCCTTGGGGCTGTTATTTACTGTCACGGGTCGGAGCAGGGCGCCTGGCAGAGCATTGCTGACACCTGCAGGCTACAGCACCCATCCTGCTCCAGCACCTAGCCCAGCACCCCCAGCTCCCCGGGCTTTCCTCCAAAACCACCCATCAAATGGCTCCTGAGATCAAGGCGCTTTTGGTACCTGCTCGGCCTGTCACCCGACTTGGCCCTTTGGATGTGATTGCCTTTTCCCTGGACGAGGTAGCCATTGGCCTGAGCACCCAAGGGTGCTGCTTGGGCGAGCCGCCAGCAGCTCCCTCAATACAGGGTTTATTTTTCTGGGAGTTTTTTAGAGAAGAATCTAGTTCTGGAGGGGGGAGGAAAGAGGGGGGGCCCTGAAGAGCCTCTATTTTAAGTCGATATTCAGCAGTGAAATGGGTTGCCCCTATTAAACGCAGACACCAGCGTGTGCATTGCTCTCGTCCTCCCCCTCTCTGCTGAAGTCGGTCCCAGGGCAGGAAGACAGCCAAGGATTTAGACCTTTTCGATAGACCCCCTCGTTCACATAAAGCTCTAAGATTAAAAAGAATAGGTTGGGGTTTTTTTAACCTTTGCCTGACCTTCCTATTTCTGGCCAAGTCAAGACGCCAGGGGCTCACAAAGGCTTTCTGCCCCCCACCGCATGGACTGGCTATGGGAGGAAACCAGGTCTTAAAAACATCACCGAGTCTCCACTTTGGGCTTGGCCCTGAGCACCCTTCTTTTTTTATTATCTCGGTAATTCCCACTGAATTAGGGGTGGCTGCAGTGCACACAGCTCTCACATAGCCCCCATTTCTCTGGGATTGCAACCAGAGCAAGCGACCATGGTGTCCCACCAGAGTCCCACCAGAGTCCCACCAGCATCTCATCAGAGTCCCACCAGCATCTCACCAGCATCCCACCAGTGTCTCACCAGCATCTCACCAGCATCCCACCAGCGTCCCACCAGCATCCCACCAGCATCCCACCAGCACCC